AAATAAAATGAAATATCTTAAGAGCCGCAGAGGGCATAAGAGTCAACGTGTTTGGGGGCATGTTAACATGCATATTCCAAATTTGAAACTCCTGAAAATAGCTTGGTGTTCTTCACTAGTCTAACCCTACTCACTCAAAAACAGTAAATTAGTGGGAAATGTCTTAGATTCTTTTAGGAAATTTATGTAAGAAGAAAATGAAATTATGTTTCAGGTATGTCCTTTGAATTTTGTACCAAGTGAATGTATTATTTACAAATACATATTTTTTTTAGCTGGGTATGGTGGTGCATGCCTGTAGTCCCAGCTATTCGGGAGACTGAGGCAGGAGGATTGCTTCAGCCCAGGAGTTTGAGGTTGCTGTGATCATGCCACTGCACTCTACCCAGGATGACAGAGTGAGACACTGTCTCAAAAACAAACAAAAAGACAAATACATATATATTTTTTAAATTAGGCTATAGATTTTTACTTTTTTTTTTTTTTTGAGACAGTCTCACTCTGTTTCCCAGGCTAGACTGCCATGGCGTCAGTCTAGCTCACAGCAACCTCAAACTCCTGGGCTCAAGCAATTCTACTGCCTCAGCCTCCTGAGTACCCGGGACTACAGGCATGCGCCACCACGCCCGGCTAATTTTTTGTTTCTATTTGTAGCCGTCCGACTCATTTTTTTTCCATCTTTAGTAGAGACAGGGTCTCACTCTTGCTCAGGCTGGTCTTGAACTCCTGACCTCAAGCAATCCTCCCACCTCGGCCTCCCAGAGTGCTAGGATTACAGTCGTGAGCCACCACGCCTGGCCAGGTTATAGATTTTTAAAACAGACTGAAAGTAGATGGAGGGGAATAGGGCTCCTGCCTCCAGTCACTGGAAGAAAGGCAGCTGGAGCCTGGAAGAAGAAAGGATTCCGGGGCAGAAGGCAGGAGTCCCAGGATTCTAATACCGAATCCCCCCTGACTAGTGTGGAACTTTGAACCAGTGATTTCTCCCTCCAGGTCTCAATTAAATCATCTGTCAAATGAAGATGACCACATCTTCCCTACCTCACCACTGGGCTGTGAGATGAACCAGAGCCCATACCCTTTTTCCCTAATGACCTCCTACTCATCCCTGGAGCATCAATTCAAATGTCACCTCCTCCATGAAGCCTTTCTAGACTTTCCCAGTCATACAGAGTTAGTGGCTCTATCCTCTGGGTTTAAAAGAGAAATGTCTGTAGCATCCTCCCTGTTTCCTTGCATTGTCCTATTTCTTTCAGTTTCTCCCACAGCCAGGAAGACCATAGAGTGAGAAGCTCCCAAGGGGCCACCAGTTCACAATTAGCCATTCAATAAATACTTCCGTAATGAAGGATGAATGAATGATACCGTTTCTTGGCCCACATTTGTATATGCTTTTTACATGATTCTGCAAAAACTGTAAATTTCTCTTTCCAGTAACAAATGGTCCTGCGATATAAAATCACACGCAACAATTCAAATATTTAGTGTTATTTTGATGAAACATGGTGGGGTTTTTTTTTTTCATTTTGAAAAAAATGAAAATGAAAGCAGTCCTCCCTCCTCCACCTTAGCCTCCTGAGTAGCTGGGACCACAGGCACATGCCACCCTGCCAAGAGGGGGTGCCTTTTTAGTAAAAGAAAACGTTGCTTTTTGACAAGTCTAGGGGGATAGACCTCCCTATAGTCTCCACGACTTGTTTTACTTTTTAGCTAGTACCTGGCTTTTAAATGCCTTAAAATGCTCAACAGATGTTTGCGACAGAAATGAATGATGTATTTCATCCTTTAAATAATGCAAGACAAACTCAAGCCTTCATGCGTTCTTCCCAGGACTGGACGTAAATCTTTATGTGGGATCCAGATGAGGAAAACAAGGAGCAAACATGGATAGCAAGACACTCATGAGTGGCTCCAAGCGGGTTAGTTCGGTTGTTTCCAAATTTTTCTTTCAGAAATCACCAAACTGTTAACGGTGATGATGCAGAGATATTTGGGATCTGGGGTTCCCCCCACACTCGCTCTTCTGTGCTTTCTAATCCGCCCGTGGATCCCTGCATTTCCAAAGCGGTGTTTTCGTTCTGTGGCCCCAGGTCCTCTCGGCGCGAGCGCGAGTCAGGCACCGCGTCAGTCTCCAGCCTCCGCCTGGCAAGAGCTCGGAAAACGAGCAGGCAGCCCCAATCCCGACACCCGGACATTTTAGCTCTCAGAGAAGAAGAGCCAGAGCTCCAGCCCGTAGCTCTGCCGCGCAACCGTGGACGCCACCACGAGAGCTGGGCCGATAGGACCTGACGACGCCGGAACCCGGTGCCTGGGGAGTACGCGCGGCGGAGCGGAATGGCTGACGTACCACACCGGCGGAGAGGAGGAAGTCGACGGGATTGACGCGGCTGGGGGAAGTTTGCCTGGATGGCACTTTCCTGTCCGTGACTCCGCCCCCGCCAGAGGGGCTCGGCTCCGGGATTCAAGATGGAGTCGCTGAGTCGAGCTGGGCAGGAGATGAGTTTGGCGGCTCTCAAGCAACATGACCCCTACATCACCAGCATCGCAGACCTCACGGGCCAGGTCGCTCTGTACACCTTCTGCCCCAAGGCCAACCAGTGGGTGAGTGCGGCCTGGCCGCTGAGGACGCCAGCCCGGCTGCCGCCGCCTCTTAAAGGGGCCGTGCGGGCTGCCTACGGTTGAGGGGAGAAGCCGGAGGCCAGGGACTGGCGAAGAACACGGCTGGAGCCTGCGGGGAGTCGGGGGCGCCCGGGATTGGGGAATAGAAATAAGAGAAGTAGGCCCGAGACACCCCAGGGAATAGCTGATAGAGGGGAGGATTGGAGCTGTATCAGTCCCTCGGGGTCGGGTTTGGGGACGTGGGCGACCTGCCTTCTTTGCTGATGCGTTGGAAAATATGAGACCTATAGGATCAGAAAGGTACCTGAAAGCTTGTGTTTGAGACTTTGAGGATTAATAGATAAATTGCATATACATGATCTACAAAATAAACACTCCTCCTCTCCCCCAACCTGCATAAATGAGAGCCCCCTTCGCAGAGCTCATTTGGATTTAAAGCTTGAAATCCAATTAGTTTCAGTTCTTGGAAGAGACGGGGTTGGGTGGGTCCAGCTTTAATCGAACTGTAGTGTTCTTCCAGAGTTTTAAGAAAGATTTCAAGGCACTTAGGAAAAGGGCTTCCATGTTAATTGGATTCCCTGAAGACCTTTTATAGGAAAGAGGGACCCTGTAAATGTGTTTTGTTCCACCTATGATGCTGGTGATGTCACCCCTCTGAATGTTCCCATCAGACTAAATACCTTTTGGCTTTTGTGCACGGGAGGGTGTCTGAAAAGTTACATTCAGTCTCTTCTCTGACTGTTCAGCCCCTTCTTGAAGCTTCATTAGTTGTTTAAATAACATAATTTCCCATTTTCTTGCAAGTGACCCTTCCTAATTAACTTGTCTAGTTATGCGCCTTACACTTAGAAAATAATCTGTAAATGTTTGTTGGGTTGAATTTACCAATGACTGGGATTCACATTTCAATGAGAAATGCAATTTTTAACAAAACTCTTAAGGATTATCGTGATATGGCCTTCACAGTATAATCCACATGCATAGATTATACTTATCGATAATTTTGTGAAAATCATTTGGCATTTATATGCAGTTAATTCAGATGAGACTTTTCATAATCGTCTTATCTTTCCTTCACCTGGAAGAGAAGGAAGTGTGGGAAGCCACAAATAGTAAAATTACAGATTGTTTTACAAATGTAACCGTTTTAGACATTGACTTAGTTTGAAATTTTCTGATTCATTTTTCTTTTCTTAGTCTATATATAAATTTGTGAAATGCGGATTTTAAAATTTTAAATTACAGAGTTCTGTTTTAAATATGAAATACAAGCTGTAATAACTTGTTGAAAAATAAACAAAACAAGCTGCTATTGTTTATTTGGATCATGACACATAGAGCATCACCAAATTCTTTTTTCTCCATTATTTTCCAGTGAGTTGTAATTTTGCAGTTGTAATGTTTTTTGGGGGGCAAGTTTTCTTTTACTGTAAGACATTTGATTACCAATTTCTTATACTAATAACTTAACATTTTAAAGCCAAGAAAAAGCTTCTGAATCCTGAGGAAGGAAAAGTTTCACAATGATACTTACACTAGAGCAATACTTGTGGAATAAATCAAGATGATAAGGTTTTTAAATTTTTTTATCCCAACAAGTTCAATTTGATATGACTAACATTTAAAGTTTTAATAGTTTGTGGATTACAGTAAAATATTTAGGTCCAGTCTAGGCTGTGAACTGCAGACTGGTGAAGTTATTTATTTTTTCAAAAACATTGTAACTATGTTTAAAACCTAAATACACTCTTCTAACAGCAAATGAAAGATGGTAATAAGTTGTACGTTCCTAATCAAAACATTTTCACTTTAAACTAAAAAATATTTTAAATTATTTGTGAGACCTGTAATAATTACACTAAGGCAGAGTATAGTTTCAGTATTTGTGATTCTTCATCAAGGTCTAAAAATAATAAACTAATTGTATTGGATAGTAGTACTTAACTAACCACAAAATTTGCTACATGTGAAAATATGAAAATCCCCAAGTGGTGAAACAAAGTATCCTATTAGAAAATTTCCTTTTTCTTTTTTATTAACTTTGATAAACTTTAAAAGTGAAGAAATTGCTATACACAAGACCTTGGCTTTAAAATTAATAAATCTAGCTAAAATATTTTATCTTTAAAAAGTGAAAGCTAATTCTATGATTTTCTCCTTTACTAATTAAAAAAGAAAAATGCTGCAGATACAGACATGTTGCTGGATTGAACATTGCACATGCTTATGTATGCATCAGTAGCATTGAAAGGATACGTAAGAAACTGGTAACAACAATTAGTGGAATGAGAATAAGACCTACTTTACCTGTTCAAAAGTGATCAATTTTAGAATAAATAAAACAAGTTGATCTTAGACATGAAACATTTTCTCTCTATTGGGACTATTTGGGCTTGGATTATGGGGAAAAAACTAATTGACTTATTGTCTATTATAGGAGAAGACTGATATAGAAGGGACCTTATTTGTATATCGAAGGTAAGTTTTTAAAATACATATATTTATTTTTAAAAAATGTAATGGTGAATGATGTCAAATGGTTCAGTTCTGTTGTACATTTGTCTTTGGAACCTTCCCACTTGTCCCCTTCAAGTTTTCATCTATCCCTAGCTGTGAGATCCTAACCACATTGTTTCTCTTCTCTGAGCCTGCCTGTGATTGAAAGTAAAAAGAACTCAAACTTATTTAGGAGCCTAGCAAAACTGATTCAAAACAGAAAGTGATTTTCTTGTAATGAATCAGTCTAAAAGAGATGCCTACCTACCCCAACATATTAAAAAGAAAAAAAGATATATATTTGAGAAAAAGATAATGCATAGACTAGCTATATAAAATAATGTAGTGAGAGGTCAGTCCCTCTGTTCTGTGGTTACTAAATGAGAGCTATATAAAATAATGTAGCTGAGAGGTTGGTCCCTCTGCTCTGTAGTTGCTAAATGAGAGCTTGTTTTTTGTGTCTGGTTCTGTCTCCTTTCTATCCCTCCAAAAATGTTCTGGATTATGTACAGTGTCTTTAGTAATATGTATTTTTAGTTTATTTGAGAGTTTTTTTTAAAGCCTGGATGATTCATAATTGTACATTTTTTATTTTCAACTACTCTGAGAATTATCTTAAAATGTGATTGGTTTGCAAATTACAACTTTGTTTTGTTAGACAACTCTTAGGGCCTGAAGCCAACTGACAGGGTGTAATAATCATGGGGTACTTGTTGTCCTGGATCCCTCTAAGGTCTTGCTCTGTTGGGGGTGGATTCCTTCCTTTGTTTTCTAAAGCTTAGAAAGTCTGCAGGAGTTATTACTGACATCTAGTCTTTTCCATTTTCTTGTAGTGAGTTATCTTTAAGGATTGCCTTTCTCCATTGATGCTACTTTAAATGAATTTGTCAAATATTCTTCTAAATTTTGGTATAAAGCTTTGAGATCCTGTCTGAACACACTCATTTTTTCTTAAGTGTAATTCTTTGATATTTGTACACCAAACTCTTCTTTTTTTTTTTTTTTTTTGATACTTTATTCCTGTTATTTATCTTTCTCCTTTTAAAAAAAGGGTGGTCTTTATCTTTACCCTCTTCATTACTCTTCATTGGCAATATAAATCTCTAGAAATTCTTTAACTGGTAATAGAACCTTGGTTTCTATGATATTTGGAATTTGGCTTTACTGTTAAAGTATAGTACAGATCCACTGACAGTAGAAAATGTGAGATTTAGTATAGTGAGTAGCTTGATTTAATACAATTCATGGAGGCTTACATGGTATTGATTCTAATAAAAGGAGACACAAGAAACTCTAATTGGGGAAATGGAATAATATTTTATGTATCTTGGATAAAGTTATGCAGGGTGTCATACTGTCACTTGGCAGAGATCACTTATAGAAGGAACCTGGATTTGGAATCAGAAATCTAAAGCTAAATCCTAGTTACATTATTTGTATGACTTCAGGCACAGGCTTTAATCATTCTAAGCTTGTTTCCCAATCTGTAGAATAGGGTTCTGTTATCTCCCCATGTACATCACAGAGAAACAAACAAGAAATCGTGAAGTGTTAGATACATGTGAGGAGTGTCTAAAGGATCGTGTACTGAATCTCGCCCCCCATAGGGGAACCAAGGATATTTCTTATTGTTAGACTTAAGGCATTTTCCATCTAACTCAGGAGAGCTATGTAAAGACCTATTTGGTGTAAGAAAAATCATTGTTGCAATGGTGGGCAGTCATTATAGCCAATCCTGTACCACATCTAAAATAAATGAATGATATTTCATTCAGCAACTGTATGTCTATCTTGGGATATATCTATGAAAAAAATCCCCATTTGCATGAAGCTTACATTCTAGTGTTGGGGGAGTGGCAATAAATATTAAAAATAAGTGGTATGGATAAAGAGAGGAAGGTTAGAGATTATTGAGCTTTGGAGCAAGTTGGGAGCATTAAAAAGGGTGATTTAGGTAGGCCTCATTGAGAAGGTGATATTTGAGCAAAAGCTTGCAAGAGATGAGATAGCTGTGCAGATTCTGGGCAGTGGTCCGGGCAGAGGTCTTTAGGTAGAAGCACACCTGCAGAGAGAGTGGCTAGGAGTCCCGTGTGGCTGGAGCAGTGAGAGCAAGGGGAGAAGCATAGGAGATGAAGTCAGAGGGGGAGCATATCAGGTAGAGGCATAGGAGATGAAGTCAGAGGGGGAGCATATCAGGTAGGGCCTTGGTGGCCTTAGTAAGGACTTTGGCCTTTACACCGAGCAACTGAATTCTTGGAGACCTCTGAGCAGAAGAGGAGTATGAGCTGACTTAAATTTTCTGTTTATGGTTTTAAGTGCTGATAATATTGTATAATGTATTAATGTGTTAATATTTGTTCTTTTTTGAAATGAAAATAAGGTATATCTTAGGTAACATTTCTGCAGATTAAATGGTAACTACAGGCCGGGTGTGGTGGCTCATGGCCTGTAATCCTAGCAGTTTGGGAAGCCGAGGTGGGAGGATTGCTTGAGGCCAGGAGTGTAAGACCAGCCTGAGCAAGAGTGGAAAAAAATAGAAAAATTAGCCAGCCATGGTGGCGT